CCCGGCTTGGGCTCTGTGTAGTTTACGTGGTGACTCAATGGGTAACACTGGAACCTCACACCTCCCGGCTTGGTCTCTGTGTAGTGTACATGCTCTCCCCATGTTTCCCCAGATACTCTGGTTTCCTTCCAGTCCCAAAACATGAGGTTAGGCCAACCAACATCTCTAAATGTCCCATCATATGTGAATGTGTTTGCCCTGTGATGGACTGGCACACTGCCCAGGGTGTCCCCTTATGCCCTGTGACAGGTGCCAGGCTCACCATCATGGTTGGATAGATCTTATTTATAAAAATAATCAGTTTTATTGTCATTCTACATTAAAATGTCTACTCACATTACTTTTCTTGCCAAATCTGTGAACAAAATAAGATAAACGGTGATGTAATTAACTGTTTAGGAGCTCAAAATAGTAAAACATGAATGTGGTTGGTAATGTAACAGTATCTAATAATGATTACTTGCATAGTCATAATTACATAATAATGATTACTGTCAGTGAAAGGTTTCTGCATTACATAGACACATGTGCTGTATCACTGAGGATGTTTATATCATCTCCCTTCCTTTGTAATAGTCAGAGCTCCTCATTACAGTGTCAGTGCCCCCTACTGGCAGGAGGCCATTACAGTCCTACACCACTGAAACAGCATCATAAAGGAAGAATAAGAAAGCTGCAGTGTTATGAATCTGTGTATCGCTTGTTCTTTGGATTCTGATTCAAAACCAAATTGGGAAAACAAAAAAAAGCAACAGCATTTTTTGGTTTTTCTGTTTTAAAATTAGAAAAGGAAAAAGGAAAAACAGGAAAATAAAAAACAGGCTGCATGTTATGTTTTTCTGACCATCATAATGCATGTCCACCAGCAATATCTCATTAATGATGCTGGTCTGCCGGCACCAAAACACATCATATGCTGATATGCCCAGCACGCTTTGTTGCTGGCCATGCTGGTAACCAGCTCTGTTATTTACTTAACAGGGTTATGTTCTTGTATAGTTTTGATGTCTTATCGTTACACTAAAACGTTAGTACAGTTACACTAAAACGTAGAGAATGGTACAAATAAACTTTTCTCTGGATAAGTGTTTCCAAACTTTTGGCTGGCACTGTATAAACTGCCTGACCAAAAAATAGTCACCGCTTGAATTTCAATCAGGAGGTACTTAAAAGCCAATCATAGCATCTTTATTACAGCTTAGCAATGTTATGCAGCGATAATGTGAAGTCAGCTGAACACCTGAATCTACTGAATGGCCAGGTTATCCCATCAATGGGTTTTTTCTTACCTAAAGGCATAATTCTGGGATGATAACACCAAGATTCATAGGGCTCAAACTGTCAAAGAGTGGTTTAGTGCAAGGAATCATTTTCACACGTGAACTGGGCAACACAGAGTTTTGACCTTAACCCCATTGAAAGTCTTTGAGATGTGCTGAAGAAGACTTGTGGCTCAACTGAGCTGTCATTAATACAAGACTTTGACAAGAAATTAATGCAAAAATGCTGAGATGCTGCATAAGAACATGGAAACAATGCATTAATAAATGTGCACCACAATCAACATTAAAGGCAGTCCAACAAAATATTAAACTGTGCAACTTTTTTTTTGGCCAAGCAGTGTATGTTATAATAGAATATTAAAATAATGTCTTATATGTTATATTGTCCAGCATCCCCTGAATTTACCATGTTTACCAAAATAAATAAATAAATAACAATTTTACAGTTTTCCCGTTTGGTTTTAATTCAGAACAAATAAACTATGAAGCTTAATTTTTTCTTTCCCTGTTTTTCCTTTTTCCTGTTCTGACATTAAAACAGAAAAGCCAAAAACGCCGCTGATTTTTTGTTTTTCCAATTTGGTTTTCAAATGGAAAATTCAAAGAACAAATAATACATGGATTGTTATGAAATGTTACGTCCTGAGTGGCACAATGTGATGCATAAATAACATGACGTGGTTACAAATTATATTTAACTAGACTAAATGGTGGACATATAGGTCAGATAAAATGTTACTAAAAGTATTAAATATTTTATATTGAAATATTTTTAGGGACAATTACTTAGTAATTGTAATTAGAATATTGTGTCATTACTCAGTTTCCTTTTAGTGTTGTTTCCTTTATATTGGGTTACTGCCTTACTCACTTCAGTCTCTCTGACTGAGACATGGTGAGAAACTATGACTGGAATGCCGCCAACATGTTGGAAAAGTCCCAATACACATATTCAGTCTTTATGGAAAGTTATGCATCATATCTCTGTTATACTTACAGTTTGCATACATCTGTATAACAAGCCAGCTAAAGAGGAAGACAGACCCAGAAATCAGGACAATCAGCCGTAGATCCAGTGGTGGTTTTCCTGTGTCTGAAATGACATCATCACAAAAATCACTGAGAACTGAGGTCAGTAACTGAGCAGTAAGTGACAGATATTAAACCACAGGAATCCATATATTTCCTAAAGGGTTTGTATAATTTAGCTGTATTGTGAAGTTTACAAAGTAAAAGTAAAATTGTAGGAGAAACATCTCAAAGTTCTAGTATATTTACCTGCTTTGAATTTTAATGCTACAGCCAGGGCAACTGAATTCACCAGAGGGAGACCAAAAGCCCCAGAGAAATATACATATTTACGGGGTTTGGCTGAAAGAGAAAAGCTTTAGTCATACAGCTACATATATACATTCAAATAGCCATAGTTATATAATTAGTTTTTTCATTATTTAAACATTTTAATGCTCATTTTATTCAATTTTAAAATGTCAAAATTTAGAAGTGTAACTGATATATCAAACATTACATTTAAAATCTTTGATTGCACAAGAGCATTTCTGAGACACAGATTTCAAAGATTAAGCTTCAAAAAAGTGTACAAAAATCCTCATTTATACCAAGGTACTCAGTCCGACACGAGCGAACATTGTTTGTGACAGTCAGAATGTAGATGAACAGAAACTCGCACATCTTCGCAGGTCGTCCTGCGGTCAGAAGAACAACAACAGAGGTTATTAATGATGTGAACAACCTGCTGCTCCTGTAACATCAGTAAATACATTACAAGCATAAATAGAACAAAATTCATAATAAAACAGCATCATCGTTTAAATCAGAGGTGTTTTTTACAACTTGACATAAGGCAGGACTTCAAAGAACATTTTGTTATTGTCTGCTCCTTAACCATTAATATACTGTTACTAATCATTTGGTAATATATTAATGGATAGAAAGATTCATTCACAAACAAATTTAGAAATGCACTGCAATCATATCTTGCTCCTGGTATTTACAAAACAGCTAGTAATTCACTTGCAAATATAAAACAAGGAGCAGCATTAAGATTCCTCTCACTGAAACTACGGGGCCAAGCCCAACCCCTGAAAAACAACCCCACACCATAATCCCCCCTCCACCAAACTTTACACTTGGCACAATGCAGTCAGGCATGTACCCTTCTCCTGGCAACATCCAAACCCAGACTTGCCCATTGGATTGCCAGACAGAGAAACATGATTTTGTCACATAAAAAAACACATAAAAAATAAAATAAATAAATGCAATACAATAAAATAACCAAAAACCATTAGTGCACCTTGAGAGTATAACACCCGCATGTTTCTAAAACGTGTCGCTTAAATACCATTTAACAGTTCCCCACTGATTTTAGATGTGGTTTTGTTGGTCAAAAGCGCAATGTCATTTCCCTGTCTTAAAATAGCAACGTGCCGACAATGTGCCCGGACACGGCTCATTTAAATAACCTCTCCAGCGAGTGTAAAGTGGGTGCAAGATCACTTGCATTGCGTGAAAATGAGCAATGTGCTGGTATGAAACTAGCAAAACCATTTTGTTACTTTGCACCCACAGAGTAGGGAGTGAGAAACTCGATATGTTTTGACATGGGATGGCACCATCATACATTTCTATAAGTGAATCTTTTTATTTGATTAGTGAGTTTATTAATGGTTAAGGAGCAGACCTTAAACTAAAGTGTTACTGGTTTTTCTTACCTTTGTCATTTTCTAGAATCAGACTTAGATACAGGAAACTGAATATTAGGTGAAGAATGAAGAAAATCCCCAAAAGGATTTTCTGAGCCAGATCTAAAAAACATCAAAATGTGAAAAACAACAGATTAAATACACATAGCATAAGACAGGCCTTTATTAAATATTTTCCCTTCCTTAATTTTTTGCTAAAACATTCTTAAGTCAGGATCTTAGAGGAGGTGGTCAAAATAATGGAAATATCAGTATATCAATACTAAGGCCCTAATAAGCAGCAGCTCCCCCCCTATGGCTCCATAACAGCTCTGATCCTCCTTGGACACCCTCTGACCTGTGTGCAGTGGGATACTGGGCCATTCAGAAAGAAAAGCCCCCAGCTCAGAGCCACAGGGAGCAGCTGCTCTTGAAAAAAGCCCTCATGTTCCTTGCAGAGCATCATTTTACAAAGATTGGAAATCACTGCACTACTAGTTGTTGTTAAAAGAGTAAAATACCATCACCCTCTTATGTGCTGTTTTTATGCTTCTCCTGCTGTAAATGGGACGTGCATGACATAACTGCAGGCAGAAGTCACTGAACTCATACCCTCTAAGTAGCAAAAACAGCGTGTGGCTCAGTGGGCTAAGCCTGTGTGCTTGTAATCACAAGGTCGCTGGTTCAAGCCCAGCCTCAGCATGTCTGCGGGTCCTTGAGCAAGACCCTTAACCCCCAGCTCCCTGGGCGCCCCAACAGGTGGCTGCCCTTCGCGGACAACTTACTCTACAAAGAGCGAGTTGAGGGAGGCGTAAAAACAATTTCCCCACAGGGATCAATAAAGTATCAATTATTATTATTATCAGACCTAATGACTCCCACAAGATGGCTGCCCACACCAACAGGCACTGTGGGCTGATGTAACCCCCTCCAGATGTAGGGAAAGGGTGACACATGATGACTCATCAAACCATTTTGCTCTTTCCCATTGTTCAGGGGTCCATGTTCTGTGCTCCTTACACCAGGTTATGTGTCTTTGTTCACTGGCCTTGGATAGAAGCGCTTTCTGAATGGCAGCCCTGCCATAAATCCCAGCTTTGTGAGGGTCATGATTTACAGTTCTTATTAGAGATGCATCGATCTGATATTCGGATCAGTATCGTCAGTGATCCAGACCTATATGTGATGGATCAGGTATCAGCCATATGTGACTTATCCACATCCAATACTTACTTATGTAGTTTTTGGCTGTCTTGAAAAAGATTGTTCCTATTTACTGTAATGTTAAATTTATCAATTGTACAATCAATCACACAACAGCTCTTTTCCATTTAAGATGCGTTTTTTGCGGCCTTCAGGCTGAACGCTAACGCTGCCACTCTGGTTTTTTGCTACTTAGTGGGTATGAGTTCAGTGACTTCTGCCTGCTGTTATGTCATGCACGTCCCATTTACAGCAGGAGAAGCATAAAAACAGCACATAAGAGGGTGATGGTATTTTACTCTTTTAACAACAACTAGTAGTGCAGTGATTTCCAATCTTTGTAAAAACTAAGTTTTGAGAGGTGCGAGAGTAACGTTCAGTGGAAAATCCCACTAAACAAAGCACACACAATTGTACGAGACAACACGAGTAATATGAAAAAAGCAATAGATGATTTGGGGGTTGCTAGCTTGGGCTGTTTTGCGCACTCGCTGCAGCTTGTGATACACGAGGGGCCACTGTCACAACAAAGTGTAAGTGACGCTGTTGCCAGTGGGAGAAACATTGTTTGCTTGATTTGCTGTTTTCGTGACTGAAGCACTGGCTATTTGGCCCCTTTGTGACTCTGTTACTTGCCTCACTGTGCTTTGCAAACTCACATATCCACTGCTGATTGGTTCCTCTGGGACCCAAATCAGTTTTTGCATTATTTTCTCCACCCTCCTACATGTCTTACCTAAACTATTCAGTAAAAATTGGTAAACAAGACTTAAGAATTTTTTTCTAAATGGACTAATACTCTCTTGGTTGTATTTTATTATTTTATTAATATTCCCGTGGTTAAAACTTTTTTGGTAACACTTTACTTGAGGGGGCATGAATAATGTAGTATAATCCTATTACTTTCATATTAATTAACCACAAACTACGTCTTAGTTACATACTGATTTCATGTTTGTTCATCATTAAATATCTTTTATCAGGCACTTTTTTTTTTTTACTATATCAGTTAATTCTGTAAACCTTTGTGAACTATTGAAGGGACTGCTGAAGGAACAAGTCAGGAATAACAATGATTGTTCATCATTAATGAATCATGATGCATCTTTTATTAATAAAAATAAAATAATAATGACATTTTATTGATTTAATTCTCATTTTGCCTACCCCATCTTGCTCTCCATGACACACAGACACATATGTAGGTGACAGCAAGTTTGGCAGTGAAGTGCAGCCACCTGCAGCAGCGCCCATGGAGCTGGGGGTTAAGGACTTTGCTCAAAGACTCACAGATGTGACTATTCTGTCAAGGCAGGGCTCAAACCGGCAACCCCCCGATCACAGGCACAGAGGCTTAGCCCGCTGAGTCACATGCTGCCCTCGTCTCATGTATGTGTTCATGATTTGTACTTCTGAGGTAACTAAGTTATAACTAAGTTTTTGTACCCTCTCAAGTAAATTGTTACCACTTATTCTGAAAGGTTAGTATACCTGAACAGGCTTGATTTTCTAGCTCTGGTCCTGTATGCTGATTGACTCATACATTTAAATTCAAACCATAATCACAGATACATTAGCCCTTGTGATTCATTTATATGATTGCATTTCAGTCAGATATCACTAAACCACCAGAGATTCTTCAGATCATCACCAGCAGAGACCAAAAATGGTGACATCACATCTTTTAAAAGGCAATTTATGGTTCAGTTAAGTGCAAGATTGGATAGTCAGACAGGTGGTATTTTGGCTGACTAACTCTACAAAATCTGTATCACCTGTCTAACTACCTTCAAATAAGCCACTGGCTGAGCTTAGTCTGCATGCATTTTTAGCTCATTTATACCAGTTACAAATACTAATTACATACAATTTTAGCTCCTTTTATACCAGGAAGGTGAAGCCTTCCTCACACACAGACCAGAGCTTGTGTACCATAACCCTTCCTCATACATAGAGCAGAGCTCATGTACCCTAACCCTTCCTCATATACAGAGCAGAGCTCATGTAGCCTAACCCTTCCTCACAAACAGAGCAGAGCTCATGTACCATAACCCTTCCTCACAAACAGAGCAGAGCTCATGTACCATAACCCTTTCTCATGCACACAGCAGAAGCAATCAGCTCGTAGATTTAAATGTTCATCTATTTTTACATCAGTTTATCAGTGATGTACAGGGAGTTTCTCTCCATAAATTTTACATTAATCCATATTCAATATTCAAAGTGACTATCTCAGGAAGCACAGAGGTGATGGGAAGGTGTTTAACCATCAGGGGGCGCTCACACACACAGAGTCACTAATATACTTCAAACAGTCTGTCCAACCAAAATGCCAAGCAAATACTCAGCATAAAAACTGGACAATACTTTCACTTAGACTGAATCCTAAAAGAATGAAATATTCATAAAAACACTTGAGAACCCAAAATGATAAAATCATATAATTAACAATATATTATAAATCTGCACTGAAAGCCAGTTATACTGTAGGTAGACAAGCAGATAAGCATCAGATTGAGCGGAACATAAAGAGCTGCACTGAATTCAGATAATTTTTAGTGATTGCGCAGAATTATTGCATTATTGCAGGTCAATACAAAATACTTACAGAAATGTCTGAATGAGTGTAGAAATATTTTAGCAATAAAGCATGCACACATTCCCAAAGAAGCTACGGCAATTGGGACGAAATATCCTGAAATCAGAAAGCAAATGTTACTATACTGTACATTAGTCCCCACCCTGATTCAACATCGACACATTCAATTATAGCTGATATATGAAATGGTCACTCTGTAGCTGATATATGAAAATAAACTTAAATATGGTACATTTCAGTTTCACATGTTAGAAACAAAGGTTTTACAAATTTTTAACACCCCACATGTTTTCTGTGCTTCTGCTCTTTATAAAAGTACAATGTACACAGTCCTAGTCATATGACCCTCACAGTAACTAGTAACAATAAAGGAAACACTGTCAGACACCCTATTCCACTGTGAATACTGGCATTTATTATCCATCCACCCCCCTGCTGTCCAGGACCCACACAGAAGTCAGATATAAGGGGTTGGGACCAATCAGGGATCAATTCCCATCCTCTGCAAGGGTAACATACATAAACTGCAGGGAAGAAATCCTCAGATAAAGACAGTTACTTAATGGTTTTCTTTTTATTATTCATTTTTTCACCTCTGATACATTGTGTATTTTGGTGGTTCAGAAATTGAAGTGTACATATATCCCACATAATTTGATGTTTTTACCAACTGGAAATGTTACAGAATAGTAAGAATTTAGAGAATTAAATATATTTACTCAAAGAATCACAAAACCTGCATTTAATTACAAGAAATCTCACCTAGTAAAAATGTGACTTGCATCCAGGCAATAAGCTGCATATAAAAAGTAAGGATCTGCATATTAAACATCATGTTTAAACCTGTAAGTGTAAAACAGACCAAATTAGACACAGCACAGAGCTCCTGGGCTAATCAGAATTGAATGGCTCCAGTCCAAAGAAAATCTGCCTGCTGGACATGCATCACTTCAATAAAAACATCCTGCTGACTCAATGGGTAACTTTTTAACATCTGTGGATTCAAAAACAATCTGGTAAGCATGCAAATGACTATGATGTCATTAAACAAAATATATATATTTAAAGAATTTCATTTTATGTGAGGCTGTTTTAAAGGGGAATCATCCACAGTATTCATTAGGATAAAATTTCCTTCCAAATCAAAAACAATAAAACAAGAATCCATGTTATGGATATCCTGTGATGGGCTGGGATCCCCCTGTCTGCGCTTCCTGGGAGGGGCTCTGAGCCTCCCCATTGGATAAGCTGACAGAAGATTATGGGATGTCAGGAAAATGGTCAAGGTTCAGATGTTTGTTTGATTTAGTACAGTGTACAAAGAAATACCTGTATAACTAATTCAGGTCCAGGGTTCCTAAAATAACTGGGATGTCAACAACAAAATATATGTAGTACCCAGAGAATATACTTACTGCGGAACAAACCAAAGATTCTCAAAAATACTCTCTCTTTTATTTCTGCAGGGCTCCTTAGGTAAAGAATTAGTAAAATTACCAACCCAACAACTGAAATAAGAGAAAAACATCATTAGCCATGAAATTTGCTCCAAACACATAAGAACAATGATGTGCTGTGGTCCTGTGTTTAAAACCCTGCACAGCACTGTCACCTGGTGGATGTGGGTTTGAATCACATTTTGGTACTCAAAGAATATCCCGGGTTAAGAAGCAGATTAAAATATGTTATGTTAAATCTGTTTGGGTGGGACATTATATAATGCATCCCATAATATTGATACACCGGTAATGAAAAAATAGATATTAAAAAAATGGTCAAGCTTCACACCATTTGGCATTTAACTCCTTACAATATGAAAAGAAACAGCTCTGTACTCAGTTCTCACCCACTACTTATGATACAGCAATGGCCAAAGTAAACACAACAACTAAAATAAACCAAAAAGTACATTAAAACTATGTTAATATACTTACATGGAATTAAAAGCGCAATCATCGAAACTGAAAAGATGGTTAAAAACTCTCTAGTTTCTGCTCTTCCAGAGAAATGTTTTGCAAGAAACACACCAACACCAACTGAAATGAGGTAAGAATACTGAGTCATTATAAAATTCATGACAGACACACTCAGCGATCCTGTGATTAAAAGAGCACAGCCCTGTCACCTGGGGGTTCTGGGTTTGAATCCCTTGCTGGACACTGAGGTACTGAAAGTGCATCCCAGGTTACGAAGCAGATTAACATTGTTTATGCAAAGATAAAGATGGTTCAGTGGGACATTATACCATAATATATATATATATATATATATATATATATATACAGTATATATAATGATGGATTGTGTTTTTAATTCATGTAAAGCAAAATGGTCAAGTTTTGTGTTTCATACATTACTGTGTAGAAAAGAAAAATCTCTACACACAATCCTGGTCAGAAATCCCAAAACAAAATTTTTAATAAATACACTTATAAACCTGAAAACTTACTTGTGACTAAAACCATGATTATTAGAAATACAGATATGGCCCATTGTGTTTTCTTCAATTTCCCTTGAGTCTCTCTCCAGGATAAAGAATAGATATACCGAAAGAATATAACTGAATTGATAAGAACAGGGTTAGTCAGCATGACGTTCATGTCAGGAACATAACAGGTAACAAGGGTCAAACATCCTATAAATGTACACATTAGAGATTTAAGAATACATTAAATCAGTTTTCAGGTTTTAAGGTTGTAGTAAATCTCTATAATGTAAAAACGAAAGGCTTCTATAGCTAAATTATGGTCCAGTATTCCTGAAATCCAATTTGTCAAATGATGTATAAATGTACTACATTATTTCAGACTTGTCAATGTACTTACATTGTATAAAAGCCATAACGATCATCATAAGTATAAATGCACCTACAAAGACTCCTAGTGTTACTTTGCCAGCAGTGGTTGTAGAATATCTTTTCAAAAACTCAATGACAGGAGCTGAAATGAGGTAAGAACAGATAGTCAGTCATCATGGGATTCATGTCGGACACACAGGACATAAACAGATGGGCTCAGTGCTCCTGTTTAAAATAGGTTATGAAAAGGTACCAAGGCTGTTGGAGGGACACTATCCTAATGCAGGCCCCAAATCATACTTCCACACAGCTACAGAGCCACCATAAGCAGGAACAAATGTCACTCAGCCAAAATAAAGGTACCAAGGCTGCTGGAGGGACACTATCCTAATGCAGGCCCCAAATCATACTTCCACACAGCTACAGAGCGACCATAAGCAGGAACAAATGCCACTCAGACAAAATAAAGGCAGTAAGGCTGCTGGAGGATCACTATCCTAATGCAGGACCCAAATCATACTTCCACACAGCTACAGAGCGACCATAAGCAGGAACAAATGCCACTCAGCCAAAATAAAGGTACCAAGGCTGCTGGAGGGACACTATTCTAATGCAGGCCCCAAATCATACTTCCACACAGCTACAGAGCAACCATAAGCAGGAACAAATGCCACTCAGCCAAAATAAAGGTACCAAGGCTGCTGGAGGGACACTATCCTAATGCAGGCCCCAAATCATACTTCCACACAGCTACAGAGTGACCATAAGCAGGAACAAATGCCACTCAGACAAAATAAAGGCAGTAAGGCTGCTGGAGGGACACTATCCTAATGCAGGCCCCAAATCATACTTCCTCACAGCTACAGAGCGACCATAAGCAGGAACAAATGCCACTCTGCTACAATAAAGGCAGTTTCTTCCCTCACTTCATCCTCCTTCCTTCCATCAATGCCTTTGATTTGGTTCTGGCTCAGAGTTTGGAAACTACAGTCCTGGAGAGCTCCTCCGCCCAGAGGAGGATGGGGTCCCCTTTCGAGTCTTGGTTCCTCTCAAGGTTTCTTCCTGCTAGAGGGAGTTTTTCCTTGCCACTGTCACCTCATTTTGTTCGGGCCAGTTATATGTAAAGTGCTTTGTGACAATGACTGTTGTTAAAAGCGCTATATAAATAAAATTTAATTGAACTGAATGGAACACACCAGTTTTTCCTCTACTGCTGATGTACAATCAAGTGAAAAAGAAAGTACATCCTCTTTCAGTTCTATGGTTTTTCGTATCAGGGCATAATAAAAACTCATCTGGTCCTTATAAGGTTCTAAAGTTATTTAAATATAACCTCGGGCATAACACAACAAAAAACAGATTTTACCATGTTATTTAACAAAAATGAAGCCAAAATAGAGAAGCCATATGTGAAAAAACAAGCACACCCCATGATTCAATAGCTTGTAGAATCACCTTTAGTAGCCATAACTTGAAGTAATCATTTTCTGTATGACTATCAGTCTCTCACATCATTTTGGCCCATGCACTCTTCTTTACAATGTTGCTTCAGTTCATTGAGGTTTGTGGGTATTCGTTTATGCACAGCTCTCTTAAGGTCTTGCCACAATTGGGTTGAGGTCTGGACTTTGACTAGGCCATTGCAACACCTTGGTTCTTGTCTTTTTCAGTAATTTTGTTGCAGATTTGCTAGTGTGCTTGGGATCATTGTCCTGTGTTACGAACTCCAGTCTAGGGTTGTAGCCCGACAGAAAGGAAAGGGAAAGGGTAAGGGGAGAACGAGACAAACAGGGAACAGAGAAAGGGAACACGAGTGAACAAAGGGGTTTTGTTTTTGTATTTTTTTATATTTTATTCACACCACACGGACACTTTACAAACCACCCGATGCAACAAGGCTTCAGGAGTGACCACGACCAAAACAACAAACAAAAACACCTACCGAACGCATCCCAAATCTAATCTAAATCTAAAGGCAAAACAAAGAGGAAACAAAAAAACAATCTCTGCGCCTGACTCCCTAACCAAACAAAGAATAAACCAACACGCATAAACAAACATGGTAGTCACTCCAATTCACACATATACACAACAAACGCACATTCCGACATTACAGTGTCCGAGGGGGCGAGCAAAAGAGTAAACAGTAACCAGGCAGGAAATCGAAACCAGAAGAGCAAACAGACCGAGGCAAAAGCACAGAGAGGGGCAAGGCGAGAATCAGAAAACCAATAACCAAAACTGTCATACACGATAATCAAAACCAATAACGCAAACCGATAACATAGAGGTAATGAGCAGAGCTCTCGAAGTCTCTTGTTGTCGGCTTTTCAGGTAAAGGAGCCAGAAGTGACGGACGGTGCATCGGGAAAGTCGTGGGTGGGGTCTGGTCGGTGAGGCGGAGCAAAGGCCGAATGGAGACGAGACTTGCTGTGGGCGGTGCTGCACTTGCAGCGGCACGTAACACCTGTTGCATGACCGAACTTCAACTAAGCTTTAGCTGTCAGTCAGATGGCCTCACATTTCACTCTATAATACTTTGGTATACAGAGGAGTTCATGATCAACTCAGTGCCCCTAAGGTGCCCAAGTCCTGTGGCTGCAAAACAAGCTCAAATCTTCACCCCTCCAATACTGTGCTTGACTGTTGGTATTAGGTGTTTGTGCTTATATTCGGTTTTGCCAAATGTGGAGCTGTGCATTATAACCAAACCTCCCCACTTTGGTATCGTCCATCCAAAGGAGATTGTTCCTGAAATCTTGTGGTGTGTTCATATGCAAAACAAACCTGTGCTGCCATGTTCTTTTTAGAGAGAAGAGGCTTTCTCCTGGCAACCTTTCCAAATAAGCTGTCATGACCTGCGCGTCCAGTCTTCATGTGTGCCACGCCCACCTTGTTACCCTCGTGTGAATTCCCAGCATACCAGCTCTCGCATTTATTCTGATGTCATGTCCTGTATTTAAATCCGCGTTCAAGTCTGTTTCCCCAGGTCTGTCATTGATGTTTGTCTTGTGCTGCTCCCCGTTTTGCAAATAAAACCCCGTTTTTTGGACTCCTGTCTCCCGAATCTGCTTCCCCGCTGCCGATTCATGCACCGGACTGTCACGTTCAGCTCCGAACAATCCTCGTGTGTGCCACGCCCCCTCATTACCTCCTGTCGACTCCTGATTGTTCCCACCTGTGTCTAGTTAATTCCGACCTGTCCGGTGCATATTAGTCCACGTCTTCCTTAGTTGAGTGTCCGTCATTGATGTTGTTGGTTGATGTCTTGGTCCGGTTTCGCCATTAAATCCCCGTTTTTACCCTACTTCCTGGCTCCTCTCCCTGGCTTGCCCGTTCGCCTACCCTCGATCGTAACAGAATGACGGACCCCAAAGACTCACCGCAGCAGGAGGAAGACCCGTGGCTAATCCTGCTGCATGAGGTGAGGCATTGGCAGGAACAGCCGGAGGTCCGTGAGGACCCTGGCTTGCTCGGATTGGCCAAGCAGAGCTGGACCCTGCTACAGGAGGTTACCCCAAGCAACAAGGCGCACGCAATAGCAGAAGTATGCGATCTCTTGCTGCAGCTCACCAGCAAAGTAAAGAAGAAGCGGCAGCCGCCATTCTCCTTCTCGGAGGTAACCCCGCTTCCACCGACATGTCCTAGTAGGCGTAAGAAGAGGCGCAGGGGAAGGCGGGAGGACGCCGCCCCGACGCTCTTCCTGGGAGCCTGCTCCCTAATGCCCGCTGGGGAGGACACCGCTACCGGCTACCCAAGCAGCCCTGCCTTTGAAAAGCCACCTCCTAGGGAGGCATACAATTACCGGCCGGCACGCCTGGGCCAAGGGGGGATACGCAGCGTGCGGGACGCTATTCCCCGGGTCCCGGACTCTCTTAAAGGGGCAACGTCCGTTCTGTGGACGTGGGCTCAGGCAGCCCTTAGGGAAGCTCCTGAACTGCCCAATGTCCCGGAGCTGCCTGTTGCCGCTGTTGTACCCGCGGCCCCGCCTGCTGGCCGCACTCCCGAGGACGCCGCCACGCCCGCGGCGCCCCCTACTGGGCGCACTCCCGAGGACACCAGCACGCCCGCGGCGCCCCCTACTGGCCGCACTCCCGAGGACGTCGCCACGCCCATGGCGCCCTCTACTGGCCGCACTCCCGAGGACGCCGCCACACCCCCGCCGCCCCCTGCTGGCTGCAAACCCCAGCTGCCAGCCTCTTAGCCTAAGGCGCCCCCTGTTGGCCACGTGTCGGTGGGGCCTGCAGCTTCACCTGAGGTCCCGGCGCGGCCTCCGCCTGCAGCTTCTCCTGAGGTCCCAGCGCCGCCACCAACTGCAGCTGCTACGCCAGTGGTCCCCCCTGAGGCCTCGCACATGGCACCCGTCTTGCCTGTCCAGCCCGCGGCGCCCCCGGTTGGCCGCACGCCCGTGGACGCCGCTCTGCCAGCGGCGCCTCCTGCTGACCGCACGCCCAAGTCAGTCTCGCCTGTCCAGCCGGCCCTGCCCGTCTCGCCTGTCCAACCGGCCCTGCCCGTCTCGCCTGTCCTGCCCGGCCAGTCCTGCTCGCCTGTCCTGCTCGCCTGCGGCCACGCCCGCAACTCCGGCCGCACCACCTGTGGCCTCGCCCGCGACTCCGGCCACGCCTTCTGCTCCGCTTGGGCCCCTGAAAGGGGGAGCCCGACGAGGCCCCCGCTTGTCGGTATCCCACAAAGGGAGGGGACACAGGCATGGGGCCTGGGTCCTGCCCGCCCTGCCCCCTGGCTCGCCCGTTCGGCCCCTGGCTGTGGCTCGGTGGCTGCCTGCGGGGCTTGCGCCGGCGGCTCGGCAGTCGCCTTCGGGTCCTCCCACGGTTCCTCGGTGCCGGGCCTGGGGCCCGCCTCCGGCTCCGTGTCGACCGCCTCCGGGCCCCCCTGCTCCACCTGGGCGTCAGACGGCGCCTTCCCGAGCTCCGGCTGCGCCGTCGCCAGCTACGGCTTCCCCGTCCTGCCCGCCTGCGCCGCTGGTCCCTCCTGCTCCCTCCTTGTCCCCTCCGGCTTTCCTTCGTCCCTCTCCCTCGGCCCCTGTGGGGCTCCCTCCGGCTCCGGCCTCCCTCCCGCCTGCGGCTCCTCCGGCCGCTGCGCGTCGCCCGCCTGGGCTCCATCGGGCTCCCCTTTGCCCTCCGTCTCTGCCTGTCTGGTCTCCCTTGCCTGCTCCTCGTCCCTTTGTTCCTTCTGTCTCTGCTCCTCGTCCCTCTGTTCCTCCTCTGTTCACTCCAGGCCCCTTTGTGTCGCCTGTGGGCGTTTCCTCCGTGTCTCCCTTCTCTGTCTGCTTGTCCGCGTTCCCTGTTCTTTGTCGGGTCCTGTCCTTCTTCTTGTCCCTCGGCCTGTTCTGTGTCTCCGTTCTGTTTCCTGTTTTTGGTTGATGGGTTTTGCTTTTGTTTTTCAGCTCCTGCCCCTTGTCTCGTCCGTCGCCTCCCCTCGGGCGCGCCCGGTGTGCGCGCCTTTGGGGGGGGGTTCTGTCACGTTCAGCTCCGAGCAATCCTCATGTGTGCCATGCCCCCTCATTACCTCCTGTCGACTCCTGATTGTTCCCACCTGTGTCTAGTTAATTCCGACCTGTCCGGTGCATATTAGTCCACATCTTCCTTAGTTGAGTGTCCGTCATTGATGTTGTTGGTTGATGTCTTGGTCCGGTTTCGCCATTAAATCCCCGTTTTTACCCTACTTCCTGGCTCCTCTCCCTGGCTTGCCCATTCGCCTACCCTCGATCGTAACACGGACCTGACATAAGCCATAATTGTTTAGTTTTTTTCTAATTTTACTATAATAAACTAACATTTAACATGCTAACTGAGACCTGTAGAGTCTAGGGTTTTTTGCAATTTCTCTGAGTATTGCACGGTCTGACCTTGGGGTGAAATTGCTGGACCATCCCCTGTTGAGAAGATGTTAACTATCTTGAATTCTTTACAGTTGTGAATAATCTTTCTTACTGTAGAATGATGGACTTCAAATTGTTTTGAAATTGTTTTGAACATAACATTATTTTGTTTACTTGAAATTATTTTTTTTTACTATTTAGTAAAAATGAGCATGAACAATTAATTTATACTAGCTAACGCAAGTTTTAAAATAACTCGGTCTTAGTTTAATCTCCCTGGTAAACGTTGAACCTTAATTATATTTTTGTCACCCCGTGTATAATCTACCAATGTTTCACTGTTCCAGATACTTTTGCTGGTCAGAAAGCTATCTATCTAGCTTTTGTGGACGGGACTCCTGTCTCAACACATGCTTCAGCACCAGGACAAAATTCTTTTGTTTATTGTCTACTATTTTAGGTGCATATTATTAGCACAGTACCAAAGGGTCAGATAGAGTAAGTTAACTAAAGCTTAGCCTTGGAAGGAGATTGGTACATCCAGGCGTGGTGGTCAAGCAGAAACAAGTAAACAAGACAGAGGGGAGAATAAAGAAAATCATGAGAAGCACAGGTAACAGACTCTGTGCACATACACACTGGCTAGAATATAGAATATTGTAACATCCAGTTGTCTCCAGCAGTTGTGATGGAGCCACTAGCTGCAGGCATTGCAGGGAAGAGTTAAGGATACATGTGTCACAGATTTGGAAAAATAATACTAATCAAGATTGTTGTCCAGGCAGGCTGAGGACATTAATCTTAAGAGCAAGAATGTCCTGAAGGCCCCGAGTAGCTTCCTGGGACAGGATGACCATATTAAGGAAATCTTGTAAGTTTCAACAGCAATTTGCACATCAACACATCTTGTCAAAAGGACACATTCCAAAAATGTCAAATTGATTATATATACGTCATTTATAGTAATTGTGTGGCAGGGACATTTTCACAATTGTAATAACCACTTTTGAACAATGAAAAATAAACATACAATTCAACTTTAACATGGCCCTTTTGTTGCATCCAACTATCAGATTTGTCCAATCACAATCTATGATCTCAATCCATGCAGTCTGATCCCTGCTGGCATCATTTAATGGAATGTCATCTAACTTATCCAAAAGCCTCCTTGTTTCATATGTGAAGTGCTTCAAGAAATTATCATGCAGCCTGACCAGCTCAAAATTTGTATGGCAGACTTTAAGGTTCACAGGAATGACACACTGATGTATTGCTCCCCTGGGTCAAAAATATATACTTGAACTAAAGAATTTATTTGTCTTTGTGCTATGTTTTAGAAGCACAACAGTGTTTACGTATGGACCTCTTTTAGCCTCTTTTGGATGTTTCCCCCCTGCTTGCACCCTTTGTGTGCACCAAGAAAGATAAGAAAGTTATGTACACCGAATATAGGAACACAGCTCTTGCACGTCGAACTCAGTCGAGAGGTACTGCGAGACTGAGAGAGATTCATAGGCATCAGCATCCCAGTAGGTCCTTTTGCCTATGTTTCAGCCCATTAGAGACGCGTCTCAATTCCATACAAGTTTTAGCAGCTCTGGTTTGTTTTTTCGTGTTTCGTTTTCGGTCGAGTTGAGGTTAGATTTTTCTTGAGGTACGAATTGGTAGAGTTGAATGCATCTGGACCTGTTTTAGCAGGATCGGTCAAGTTCCAAGATTTCGGTCAAGGTACAAGTCAAAAAAATTGGTTAGACCCATTTGATGTCCGAGTTGGTCGGATTAAGAGGTGTTCAAGTTCCAAGGTTCTACTGTACTTTTTAAATTTCTTGTCATGCCATCCTGATCTTTTTTTTGTATCTGTTCTTCCGGTCAGATCTCATTCATTATTTTTTTTTTACTTTGTTTATCATTGTTTTCTGAGTGCACAACCGTTTTCAGGGTGGCATTTCTATAGTGTTTCAGAGGCAGGCAATTTGCATAACCAGTTGACAAAGAAAGTGTGTCAAGTCCCACCCCAAAGTACAAAAGATGTACCAAAGCTGGTTAGGCACATTTTGTACTTTTTTTAAAAAAACTTAAGAAAAACTTGAAACTTTAAATATACTTTTTAAAAAGTTAAGTTTCAGCAATGCAGACTGTTCATTTGAAAGCAATCAAAATAGTTTAAGTACATCTGACTTAAAGCAGTCACATAAATATTATTGGTTAACTTAATCCGGATATTCTTAATTCATTTCTGTTACCAGCAATTTCTTTAAGTTGGTTCAACAATTCACTTTTTACAGTGCAGTGTGTTTAATATTTTTCCAGGAACTGCTACTTTCTCCGGATTTACTGCTGATGTTTCATATCCATTAATGATAAACTTACCTGTGCATACAGCCATGATGATGATGGTGCTTCCTATTGTCCGAGCCAGATATATAATTCTCAATTGTAGCCCTGTAAAAATAGTTATTTTTATCATAAAACACAAGATATATGAGTATCAGCTTCTGCTCATAGCCATCACAGGTCACCTCAGTGACCCCTAATTATTGGGAAACATTTAAACTGTGTTATGCCCCCCAGCCCCCACCTGGCCTTGCAGTGGTGACCAGTGCAGGTTTCATTACGTTAATTATCCACAGCTGAGGAGGTGTGGATAGTTTAAAAGGAGCTGCATGGTTTTTCTTTTCTCTCTCTCACTTTGTGTCTGTAACTCTGTGCACATTGAGGATTTGCTCACCCTGCGCTTCTCTCTCACTTTGTGTCTGTAACTCTGTGCACATTGAGGATTTGCTCACCCTGCGCTTCTCTCTCACTTTGTGTCTGTAACTCTGTGCACATTGAGGATTTGCTCACTCTGCGCTTCTCTTTCTATTTGGTTCATCCTTTTATTTCACCAATGTCCCTTTACTGTATTCAAATTTAATTTAAATATCAATTCAGTGTTGAATATTTAAAACCATCAGAAGTAAACGGTAAATAAAAATAAAATGTTATGAAAAATTGATGGATCATATTTTATCTGCGGCAATTGTTTCATATTGTTCGAAATTAAAGTTTTTTGTTTTTTTTTAAAGTACCACATAATACTGACCTATCCTAAACAGGCTTATGAAAGTAAAAAAACAAGTTTAAAAAGTTTACTTGCACCAATTTCATATTAAAATACATTCCCCCTTATTTATCTTGCATAAATATATTGCCAAATATAGTGGTTGAAATCACAATCACAATAAGGACCCTTGGTATTATTCTCATACTGTCAAAAACAAACATATATATATATAACAGTGCACTGTTACCAGGGGAACCAGCAATCATATGGAAACATCTCAAGAAAAATCTATTATAAATAAATGTATTGTAATAGGTAATATTTTTTTAATACATTACATTTTTTTTTTTTCAAACTGTCACTTTCTCTTCAGTGTATATTGCAGACAGAATGAAGCATATGAAAATAAGTAAACATACCTGGATATAATCCATATGGATTCATATTAAACAAAACCAAGATATTCAGCAGACTGATGACAGTACAAATAGCAGCTTCTTCTGTGGATCCTGAGAACATCAGAAACACAAGATAACATTCAGGGTACGTTTGGCAGTATTTATATGCAACTCTGCAGACTGGATCCCAGTTTTCCTGTAACAACTTTCTTTGCTGAACTTCCCAGTGGATATTGCACTAATGGTGGCAGGACTGACTGCTTACATTTGAAATTCTATAATTAATCACCAGGTGGCATCCTTGCTGATGTAAATTTTATGTTTATTTGATCAAGTGTGTTTATTGCTCTTTATTCTTTCAAGAAATGCAGATACTGATTCTATATAAGTAGCAATTGCACAAACCCACACCAAATATTTACATTGCCAATATAAATAATCCTCATTATTAACTCTGATGGTATGTATACCAAAATATTACGAGTTACATGAAATGTTAAAGGATTTAAAGATCAATCTTAAAGACAAATCAAAACAAAGCAATTAAAGGAACTCTTTACAATATTATTAACTCCATCAATGGACCCTAACTAAATCTCGTCTCATTTTGTTAACCTAGTAACTAGTTTAGATAACTTGTTGTTATTCACAAATACAAACATTTACTAATTAAATTCTTGATCTCTCTTGGATCTTCAGCCAAGTAAACTTCATAAATCCCTTTAATTTACTACTGTTGCTCTGTTGTCCATAAAGCATGTTTAAATCATAAACACATAATTCACAGAAATAATTTAAATCAAAATGCTTTAAAGCATTCTTTAAATTAATCAAAATACAAGGACATATAAACCATAATCAATGGGCTCACCTTCAGTTACACCCCACAGGATGAATGCTGAGGAAACCATGATTGGTGGAACTGTGACATGTGACCAGTGACTCAACAGAGCCTGTTTGCTTTTACCTACAGACAGAAAGTAGAATGAAATTTAACCACAAACTCTTTGGTATTAGTTGGTTCATGCAAAGTATAATGATGTATATCCGTCTTCAGATGGTCATTCTGCTGCATGCTCACCTACAGACACCCAGTACAGACTGTCAGTCTCACCAGATGCAGCTCCTGCATTATTTTAGTAGAATTTCAATGAGGACATCAGCTTTGGTTCATTGTTTTAGTTTGCTGGGGTTTGCAGTAATAAAACTTTCTGAAATGATTTATATTCACACATATGTGTTTGTTACCAGAGGCACAGGATCAAGGTATGTTCATTACATCACAGTTAGGCCCTGTAATGGACAGGCACCCTGTGTAGATACAGTCCTGCCTGATGCCCCATGTCTGCTGAGATGCCCTCTACAGGATAAGTGGCTGCAAACATGGATCTTCTGATGTCATCAAAATAACTAGAATTGGATGAGCAGATAATTCACAGAAATTCAACATAGGTTTGACCAGTGCTTTGTAATGGTTAGATTAAAACTGAATGTTTCAAAATTACTTACTTTTTCTTATATAATGCCCGACAGATAAAGCACCAGTAAGTAGGACTGCAGGTGTGACAGTGATGCACAGCCCCAGAATCAGCCAATGCAGGGATGAATAACCTAAAAACATTAAGAAATACATTCCAGAATATATTTTTCCGAACATACGTGACATACTAGACTAAAATCAACATGTCTGACCCAATAATTAGAGTAAGTAATTGGAGCCCAAATTGATTTTATGTGTATGATTCCTAATTGATCATTGACTTAAGCCTGGGGGAGTTAAAAGTAGGACAATACAATAAAAATGTTGAACAGTTAAAGGAGTTTTACATGTAGGACATACAGGTGGATCTTCAGCTGTAAGTAAAAACATGAGAGTCGGCCTGGTTTGCCCTATGTGACACCTTGTGTAGGTGACCTGGTGACTCACCCAGTGCTGCTATCCTGGCAGTTGTACTGGCAGAATCAGTATCTGAATGGACTTCACACCTGAACTCTCCTTTGTCTTCAGTCCTGACTTTCCTCAGTTTCACTGAGAAGTTTCCTTTGGGAATTTCCTCAGTGTAGAATTCAGCTCTTCTAGAGTATCTCTCATCCTGTGACTCTGGTCTGTTCTCTCCATCATCGTACAGAAGCACCAAGATGTCACCGTCATCGTCTGTCTTTATCCATTTCAGCTGAAGCTCTGTCACATTAACATGGGTGTCCACAGAGCAGCTGAGAGTCACATCCTCTCCAGCATGTGCACAGACAGGCTCATCTGCACCCGTCACCACCAGCCGCTCTGGAACAAGAACAGGAAGATTTACACAACCTGGCAACCTGACATCTCTGTGTTATAGGAACGAAAGTCAGATTTTAACATTTTAAATAATCTCTCTCTCTCTCTCTCTCTCTCTCTCTCTCTCTCACAAACACACACACAAATATTCTTTAAGATAATCATAATTTTGTTTATAAAACATTATTATACAATTGTAAGTGTTAATTTATACAATACATACCATCGGAGTTATTGATAAATTTGAGCAAGATTAATATAATAGTGAGACTTTTGATCTTCATTTTCAACCTTTACTTGCTGATTATCTTACATAAAGAACCATTTTTATATGACAGACAAATTTAAGCGAATATACTTAACCACGCCATGATAAACGCAGTTCAATCTTCATACAAAAATGGAGTCCTTCTAAACACTGGCTACATTCAGTTTCACTTCAGTTTCACAATGTAACTTCCGCTACTACGCATATGCAAGCTTACGAGTTCTGTGAGGAGGTGTGCTATTTTTCGCGTGGTAAATGTGATTTTATATTGGATATTCGCTTGATATTTGGGCGGTCCTCCACCGCGGTAAAGTTAGTTTGCAGGGTGTGATTCGGCATTCCTTTGAGTTTATCTCGACAGTGCGGTGAGGTAAACTAGTAAACACAGTTGCATTTTGTTATTCGTGATTTGTGAATTCGGATGACGTCATTTTCCATCCCGAAATCTGCGAATATTATACTTTGCCTTTTTATTGTCAAACGCGAATAATAAAAAAACTTCACCATATAAACAGGTCCAGGCAGGTTCATTCTGACCAGTCTGATTTGTGCATTTTTTCACAGTCCTCAGTTCGTCTGCCAGTGACTGATAAGCGCTGAGACAGAAGGGATTAAAAACACATGTCACGTGCCATAGCAATACATGGGCTGCATCACAGACCAGTGGCCCAGAAGGACCAAACTAGGCTCAAATTGATCAGTCTGATTTGTGAATTTTTTCACAAATCAAATGTGGTCAGTCAGTCATAGGTCAGTGTATGTATTAGGCAGCTGGTGGGAAAAAGCACTGTTTTTACACATGAACCTCACTAATAATGAACATACCCTTTTAAAGCACAATGTCTTACTCTTTTAAAATGTACTTTTTAATAACAATTTACTATTAAGTGGTGTGGTGTTAGACATGTTATGTTGTGTTAAAAATGTCTGAAATTATAATTTTCTTTAAAAGATATGTGACCAATATTACATACCTTAAAAAATTAAGTAGCAGAAAAGATGACGTTTATGTGCAGTATTTAGTGTCTTTTATTTAAATTGGGATATTTTATGGCATTGGCATCCTGCTGAGAACAGCAAGTAACAGTCAGTAATTTATTAGCATGTATGGAAGTTCTCCCATTGTGCCATAAAGTTGTCAAGTGAGACCATTCGTAACTTTTCATAAAATTTGCCTTGAAAGAAATCTTCACAAATTGAGAGTCACTTCCACAGTTTATTAATTGCAATCCAGTGCACCCAAAAGGGGATGCATTTCCATTTTCAGACTTATTGATTACCACAGGATTCTCCATTTCTGTCTATTACTATCACAGTCAACTTGCTCATTAGAGGAGAGACCCAAATATTTGTATTGTGGTTTGATTGAAATTAATTTCAAAAGCTTAATTGAATAATATGTTTTTACTTGACATTTAACAGCTTTGTTTTACCAAACAGAAATTTCAGTAATATTTTCTACAATTTGTTACCTTGTAAAAATAAAAGATTTAACATCAGTCATGACCAATTAAACAGTTTCAAAAGTAATGTAATGTGATATTTATATTTGTTCATTGTCATTCATTTTGCCTTTTTTAATATTTATTCTTTCATGAACATATCAAACTTAAGATTTGAACACCACAACCCGTGGACTAATATATAAATACAATAATAGTGCAGTGCCTTTCTTGAAATATTTTTAATCATTTTCAAAACAATGAAAACATTTCCTTTCACATGTGACAACAGTTAAATTGCATTTGTAAAGTATTGACAAAACCATTTACTGTTGCTATTAGTGATTGACTTTATTTCCTCCTGAGTCAGGTCTGTGCACTTCAAAGCATGCAAGCATCACACTGAATCTGTATGACAACAATTCATTTACAAATTAAATTCATGTCATTTTTATTTTAATTTCAAAACAGAATATAAATATTAGTCCTTCATGCTGTCACATTCTGTATATTTTAGTAGTTTAATATAATTTTTTAATAATATATTTTAAGTATAATATACATACCCAAAGTGATTTCCCTGCCGTCTCTTTCAGGCCACACAACTGGCAAACATCCTTCACTGGCTCTGTTATTTGGAAGATGGTATATAAATTTTGACTTATTTTCTACTTTCTTTATTTTACAGAAATTGAGACTAAATGATCAAGACTAAACTAACTATTCTGTAGTTTTGTGACACGTATAATTTTATTTCAAATGTAAATCGTCAACTATAAATGAGACATAACTATCAACAAACATTCATGTAAAATTTCACAATAATGAAATAATTGTCAAATACAGCATGGAAATTGTGATTCACGAGGGTATGTTTATTATTAGTGAGGTTCATGTGTAAAAACAGTGCTTTTTCCCACCAGCTGCTTAATACATACACTGACCTATGACTGACTGACCACATTTGATTTGTGAAAAAATTCACAAATCAGACTGATCAATTTGAGCCTAGTTTGGTCCTTCTGGGCCACTGGTCTGTGATGCAGCCCATGTATTGCTATGGCACGTGACATGTGTTTTTAATCCCTTCTGTCTCAGCGCTTATCAGTCACTGGCAGACGAACTGAGGACTGTGAAAAAATGCACAAATCAGACTGGTCAGAATGAACCTGCCTGGACCTGTTTATATGGTGAAGTTTTTTTATTATTCGCGTTTGACAATAAAAAGGCAAAGTATAATATTCGCAGATTTCGGGATGGAAAATGACGTCATCCAAATTCACAAATCACGAATAACAAAATGCCACTGTGTTTACTAGTTTACCTCACCGCACTGTCGAGATAAACTCAAAGGAATGCCGAATCACACCCTGCAAACTAACTTTACCGCGGTCTTGCCTCCGCTATATCTTTGATCGCGGTTAAGTTATTCTGAAAATCCAAGGGGTGTGCATTGTCCCCCAGGTTCCTCTGATCCATGCACACTTCATACGATATGGCTGTCTCATTTGGTTTCAGAGCTACAGTATTAATGCTTTAGTGCGTTGCCCCAATGGCATGTGTTACACCCTGCTCGTCCGATCCTCCCGTGTGCCCCGCCCCACCCCTCACAAGTTTATAAAGGTTGCATATTGCCTTTGTGCACAGAATGCTTGCTTCTGTTTCTGGGAAACCCTTAGGTTAGTCCTGTGTAGCCCATGATTTAGTTGTACATGTTTTAAACTCTTGTGTCCCATCAGACACCTGGTATGGGGGAACTATAAAACTGATGCTGGTTGCATGTGTAAAAGTGCATCTATGAGGATTATAAAAATAAAAGAGAACATTGAATGTTTCTAATATTTCATGGTTGTATTAACATTGTTCTCATTGATTCAGTTACAATGAGAGACCTTTGTTCCTTCTGTGGAATGGAATCCTCATCTGCTGACAACAGCAATGTTATTGAATGGGTGAGTAAAATTTATTTTAATCTATAATTTGGAAGGAAACTTAATCTTTACTGGAGGGGAAATTCTTCTTCCCTAGAAACAACTTTATTTAACTAAATTACAACTACTTTTATTTTTTAGGAGTTAATAACAGTTTCGTGGCATCATGCTGATTTCTTTAAGAAGGAAAAAAAAAAACAAGTGACAAATCTTTCCCATTTTTCAGATCTACTTAAGATAATGCATTGATGAACCAGATAATGTAGGTTTCACAATATTTTTAATGTTTGTCTAACAACCAAGGCTAACATAACATACATAACTTGGATGTTCGGAAAACAGAGCACCTAATTGTTCTTTTCTCAACAGATTGAATGTGAGTGCTGTAAAAGATGGTACAGCTGACTATGCATCAGAATTCACACATGCAGTGACAACAGAATGGCACTGCACATTTTGCAATTAGGATTTGCTGCTATAATATTGATTGCTGCGTGCTTCTGAACCAAAAATGGTTTTATATGGGCTATTGTAAATAAATATTTATTTTGAAGATCTTTTATTGTTTGTAGCAAGTGCATGACAAAGGGAGAAGGAACTCTAAGAACTTACGGCTGGATTTCAGGGCAGGATCTTCTGAGCATTGGAAAAACCTGACCCCTGACAACTATCAATATGTATAAAATGGAGTACATGCACACTCCATAGGACATGCCTGCCTCATTTTGTTTTACAGCCATTAACTCTTTAGTGTGTTGCCCCAATGGCATATAATATGGATACAATGTATTAATTAATAACTGTTAAAAGGAAAGTGATCCTGAAAATCCAAGGGGTGTGCATTGTCCCCCAGGATCCCCTGATCAATGCACACTTCATAGGACATGGCTGTCTCATTTTGTTTTACAGCCATTAACTCTTTAGTGTGTTGCCCCATTGCACTTTAAGTGGATGCAAAATAATAATTAATAACTAATACAGACAAAAATAATCTGAAAATCCAAGGGGTGTGCATGGTTCCCTGTAGTTCAATGATCGACAAGACAGGCACATCTATAGTTTTAAAGTTATTAACCCATTCATGTATTGTCCCATTGCACATTATACGGATACATTTGAACATTAAAAAATTAATTAAAATTCGTACGTAAAGCAATCTGGGAAACAAAGAGGTGTGCAACAATCGACATGAGCCCAAAACACTAAACCACCATATATCATTACAGCTGAAAGGACCTATATTATATTAGCTATTAACACGATTTTGCACAAATCGCGAAATGGTTTGAAGCGCAAAAATAATCGGTGTGCATCGTTGTCTCTGTACTGGGCATCACAATTCTGTCATTAAAAACGCCCCACCTTACTTCCGTTAAAAGTTATTGAATTCAGAAAACTGAATATCCAATATATGAGGCTAACTTAACCGCGGTACTTTCTACACGATTCGAACATATCCTGTTTTGTATTTCCATATTGCATCTCCCATAAGGACTTAATATCGTGCAATACTTTGATCATATCTCCATGCTCGCTGGCGAAACTTATGTCTTTCAGCTATTATTATTACTTTCTGGATGAAATGTACTCGCAGGGTACCCACAGCCTGAGCGTAGGTAGCATCTGTTTCAGTCAATGTGTAGAAAATCCTCTGTGCATCGGTTATGATGCTGAGCAGCAGTACAGCTCGTTTGTGAGCATCAGACCACCTGGTTCCCTCCACACCAATCAAGTAGGTAGTTTTCAAACATTTTCAACCATGTTTCAAATGGCTTTGCGGGATATCCCAGAAATTGCAAGAACGTCGGAGGAAAATAAGTAATAGCAGCCGCAATCCTCTTCGTAAGATTTGTTGTATTTCTTAATAATGAGGCACAGAGGGAAAAAAAACAAAACACTGGGCGCAGAGCAGTTTACATTGCCTTCAAGTTATTACTGTTCTTTATTTTGTCTTGAATATGTGCATAATATTCAATTGTATAACATAATTACATAGTGCCACCTAGTGGCTTGAAATAGGAATAGCTTAAGCATTGCTTTCAGAGCACAACAAATACCTAACCTTACAAAATAAGAATAATGAGATGAAGTTCAGAATAATGAGACGGAACAGCATATTTAAACTTACATTTAAATATTTAACATTTAAACAGACCAAATTATACATTACTTCCTATTTCGTATATATATACACGTTAACAATGCGACAGGTGGATCCCATTTCTGCCGTGGAGTCCAGTGTCTGCCTGACTTGATAGGGGCCTTTCCATTGTGGCACCAGCTGTGTGTGACTCTCAGCCACTCACTACAAGGGTCAGCTAACAAGAGACCCCCTCCCCCATAGGGATCCTCTGTCTGGGCACAGGAGACCTGCATGTCTGACAGGTCCTACATCACTCACACCAGTGTCACTCAACACAGAGGGCCAACAGCATGTCTGTCTAGTGGCTCCACAGACCAGTCCAGCTGAGAAGTGGGCAGAAGCAGGCCCACCATGGAGCTGCTGAAGGAGACGTCCGACATGACAGCCCATCTACTGCTGACAGCTTCCTAAGGCCGAGAGGAGACCCTCTTAGGAGTCTGCGTGGTGGGCACTGTGACCTCCTTAATCCAGGACAGCATTTTGGTAATGTCTGGGTCCTCAAGCTGCAAAGATCTTATTTCAGAGCCATCCGGTAAGATTGAGATCATTGGTCCGAGTGTCAAATTCCCAGTGATCATGGACTTTAAACTTTAAAATCACACACCTCAGATTCCTCCGGTGGGTTTTGTAGACCAGCCGCCACAGAAGGGGGGAGAACAGCCACAAACTATAAAAGAGCCACAAGACAGAACATCAAAGATGCACCATGCAGAGAGTCGCTCCAGACCTCTCCCTCCCAACTCCATCTCTCGATCATCTCATCACCTCCATATCAGCTTCCAGAGACTTCATCTGCAACCACATTAATGCACCTTCATTTATCTGACAACATAACTTGTCCTGTTCATCTGTTTTATAATTTTGGGTCACTTTTAAGATCAAGGGCTTGCTGTGCAGATCAGTATTTGTTTCATGTTAAGTGTAATGTCTGCCACGTGTTAGTTGTAGTGTTAGGAATAAATGCATGCCTTTTATACACTTTGAATCTCAGGCTGAATGATTGATTACCTCATAATTAAGTTACTTCACCGGAGCTAACCGGCCTAAGCTTTTAAAACTCCCAAGCTTGTCTTAAAATATTGTGAGACGCTCTCGCTACAGAGTTGCTACATAACTGGTGAGAGTTATGTACATGGGACAAACATTCTAATGCAGGTTAAGTAGTTAAACTGTAATTGGTGAATTCCATTCATATCCTGTAATCCAGTAATGGACAAATTGGGACTTCTGTAATAGTGTTGTTGGAGAAACAAACAATTCAAGCATAATAATCAATTAATAATGACAACTAATTAATGAATTATAAAATATTAATTAATTTCCCTATGTATCAGTGAAGACACAAATCTGACATCTGAGGTAATTTTTCCTATTCATGGTATCAGGTATAGGCATCGGTGCATTGCCACGAGGATGTGCACAAGTACACGTGGTATGTTTTATCCTGCAGTAAATAACAATAAACAGAATTCTTGGATTTAAATGTGCAGGCATGTCAAACCATCAAACGATGCATGAACTATGGAAGACAGCAGGCCAACCTGGGTCCCAATTGACCACAGGTATGAGTGACTGGGGTGGGGGGACTTACATTACAGTGCTGTCTGTAGCCCTCCTTCTTCAGTGGCAGACAATTGGGACAGTCAGGTTGTGTGCAGCTCACCCAGTTTGAGATGATCTGACAGTAGGAAGTGCAATTCTTCACTGCAGGAGCACAATGAGGGATTCAAACTGTTAGATGAAAGAAACAGACCATGCACTGGAATGAAGGCAAACGTGTGAGCCAAATCTCACCCTGGCAGGACGCGCCGGCCTGGCATTGGGGCATGTGGTCCAGGACCTTCCTCATGGTGCGGCAGTAGGGCTGGGAACACCACCACACCTCCTTGTTGGCCTGCTTATAGTCCTGGCACTCGCAAGCATGCAGCAGGAGCTCCAGCAGCCTGGGCTTCTCCAAGTCAGTCGAGAGGCCCGGAGAGGAGGGGAGACAACCATCTCATCAGCAGGGGTCACTGTATGTTTGTTACAGTCACCAAAACAGCCTTCATGCTCTCTATGCTGTGCATTCTGGGCTTGGGCCTGTAAACCTCAGCTGTGTTTCTCCATCATAATCAGACCGGTTTCTGTGCGGCTGGAAAAGCTTGATATCTGAAGCGCCACTCAAAGCCCTTTCCCTCGAGTCCCATCTGAACGTGGTCTGGGGCCCCTGCTGGTTTGGGGGGGCAGCTCTCACCAGGTTTTCCACCTTGGCGGCACCCAGGAGGTCAGCTGGAAGGGGGGGACAGGCTGTTAGGGAGGGGGGACTTGGTCTGGAGCTGGATGCCAACCCCTCCCACACCAGTAACCCCTGTACCCCCAAGCTGCTGTCCTATGCCCTGTCCATAGGGCTACCAGAAGGGGGCACTGTTCCTTCCAAGGCCCATTGGGTACCAATGCCTTTCTTTAGGACAGGGGTTCACAATCCTGTTCCTTAATAGGCTAAAGTTGCTTACAGACTGAACGCGGCATGCGCTGAGCTCGACGCAAGGCTTTTGCACAAACAGTAGGTGCAGTTTTCAAAACTCTCTCCTGTCATTTTGGCTCGCGGTCAGTAGCGACGATGTATATTTTGCATTCAAAAAGATTCTATGCTTGTGTGATATAGCTCTGGGAACTCAGACACGGACAATATAAGCTTTTCCTCCATTTTGTTTTCTGTGCCCGGTTCGGTGCCTTGTTTCTATTGATCGCGCGACAATGCGTCACAGTGGTGAAAGTTCAACAAAGTTCATCTGTGACCACAGTGCTCGCACAAGCCCCGTGAGCGGCGCGCAGCACGGAGCGCAGAGTGGTGTATGCCGCGTTTGGTCTGAAACCGGCTTTAGCCTATTAAGGACCATATAAGCCTGATTAAGGTCGGGTTGGAACGAAAACATTCTGGCAGGTGGGACGCCAGGAACAGGATTGAGAACCACTGCTTTAGGAAGACACCATGACACTTTCCAGTATAATAAAAATGGTAAAGCCAAAAAAACAGACAATCTGCCCAGCTGGCAGCAGCCATGGAGCCGAGTTGAACAGACAATGTCCCAAAGTGGACCTATCAGCCCCACAGCCTATGAATAAGCCTACAAATGAGGGTGTGAAGGCAGGTTCAAACCAGGACCGGGGGCACTGTAAAGGGGGAGAAAGTTAGGATGATTCCAAGGCCCCCTGCCTTACAGGGGCCCTAAAAGTTTTCTAACATAATTGGATTGCTACTGGATCAATGACTTCTTAACTGGCAGGAATCAGGTTGTGAAGAGAGACAACAACATTTCAGATCCCATCCTCCTCAGTACTGGTGCCCCCTGCTTTACTCCTTGTACACCAACGACTGTATCTCAGAAAATCTTTCTGCAAAACTCCTCAAGTTTGCAGACGATACCAGCCTGATTGGACTCATTAAAATTGTGGATGAATCCAACCACAGGGAAGAAGTTATTCGATTGGCGTCATGGTGTAATGGAAAAAAATTTGACTTGAACACACAAAAAATGGTGGAAATGATCACTGACTTCCAGGAAGCCCCCCCCCCCCACAACACCAGCTACTTTGGTCATACGAAACACAACGATTAGCAGAGCTGGAACCGTCAAATTTCTGGGCACCACCATCCAACAAGATGGGACACAAACATCACCTGCATCACCAAGAAGGCCCAACAGCACCTATATTTCTTGCATCAGCTAAAGAAATTTAAGCTGTTAAGGTTCATGGCCAAGTTATACACTGAGAACAGGTAAATACCATAAATACCATAAGTCTGTCAACCCTGCCCAAGAAATACAAAAATATGGCAGAACGTGACACTAAAACTAAATAATAATTTAATAATTATGTAGAAATAAATTATGTGCAGTTACAATACAATCTGGTGCTTTATATTCTAACAACAGAGGATGCTTCCAGGTGTGTAATGACTGTGGAGGGATAGTGGCACATCAGAAGAAGATGTGGTCTCATTCAGCAGTTTTCTAATGACAGCAGGTAGGACTGATCCCCAGTATGATTTTTCAGCATAGCGTGGTGGAATGAGCTGGTAGGCTTCTTAGGTGTGAGACCAGATTGCTCCATTTGCTCTAACAAACACCTCTTTATCTGCCCTCAGAACCCTCACAGCCATCCTTCTCAGTTCTCAGTACAGACTGGAATTGCCTTTAAGCCATGCATTGTGACTCCTCTTGATAATATCCAGGGTGCCCTGCGAGATGAAGCACCTCCTTCTGGTAACACCGGCAACACCAACACAACCCTCAGCAACCTTCAGGACCAGCAGTCACACCCAAGTGTGCACGTTCCTCACACAATCTGCATGCAAACTCATTAGACACAGTCTGGCTAAGTCCATCCTCATTCTCATTCTTAGTAGGTGGTAGCCTACTGGACCTAAGCTAAATCTTCAGAGCAGCAACAACAAGAGTGTGGGAATAATTCACAAACTGGGCACTTCTGTAGACCATGCAGTTCTATAGGAGTTTCCAGTGTCTGCCTACAAGGCTGTGATTGATCTCCTTCGCCTCACCACCAGAATTGGAGGAGCAAGTCCAGCAATGCTGCTCAGGGTGCTGGAACCAGAATCCAGCAACCTGCAGACCCTGACCTTTTGCACAGTCCAGGAACATGTAACCACTTTCACCCCGGTCTTCAGACCCATGAGGACTGACACAGTCCACATCGCCAGCCCTGTCAGTGCCAGTGGTCGCAATGAAGTCACCCTTGACCAGAGGAGTGTCACCTCGTGGGCACCCATCAACCACCGAGCGAAGTTGTGAGTAAAATGTCTCCCTCAACGAGGCATCACTCACTGCAGTCTGAGCATACACTGAGGCAACAGACAAGACACGGAAAGAGTGCCGGAGCCTGAGTCTCATAATACACTGGTTGAAAGGAGTGACATTAGACACCATTGGGTGGAGCAGATTCACCACATCCACTGAATATGGCAGCCATCAGAGCAACCAGACCAATATTAGATGTATCCACCTACAGAGATCTGGCCACTCCCTGGTCTGCATACCTCACAGAGTGCCACCACTGAAATACAAAGTTTACAAAGCAGGGGAAGATGGTCATCATGCTGGAGAGACAAGACATTCCGCGCATCTACCCAGATGGGCCGCCTCAAATTGGGACTCTAGTGCAGCCATACAGCAGGCAACCCCTCATTACCACACCAGTTCTGATGCCCAATAGTTTTGGCTTTGGGTTTGGGATTGTGGATGACGCGCGAACCTGAGTGTATATGCAGATTATCTGAGCTGTTCATTGCCAAAAAGCGTTTCCTCTGTTTATTCATGGACAGGTTGCTCTACAAAGAGCAAGTTGAGGGAGGTGTAAAGACAATTTCCCCACAGGGATCAATAAAGTATTGATTATTATTATTATTATTATTAGTCAACCTTTGCCAGTGAGAATGTACCAACATGTTCCTGTGTGCTGGAATCCTCTACCTCAACAGACTCCATACTTACAGGGAAGGAGGAAGAGCACAAGGGCCACAGATTTGCTACAGACACAATTATGTATAATAATCTGAGGGAAGATGGTCAGACTGATGTAGAGAAACAGGCCCCAGGACAGCAGCCAGAGGGGGAGATGTATCTTGGGCACCTACCTTGTCTGGCTCAGGATCTTGGTGTCTCTCAACTAAGTGCAACTCTTCCTTTATTCTAAGGAAAAGATAATGAGTTATTACAACTCAGCTTTGTCAGAGTATTACATTTAACATAAAAAGTCATCATGTGTATTTTGCAGTATCACCTTAAAATTCCATCATCTATAAGAAGTAACTGGATCTGGACTAAGGGTACGGTTCCCATACAAGAGCTGGATAAAGGAGCTGAACTGCAATGAACCACTGAACATTTTAATATTTAACACATGGTTACTCATTTGTAAATTTTTTGATTTACTAACAAATAACAGCCATAATCATTATGTTTAACATAGATTTTGCTTGTTGTTGGAGGTGGAATGAAACATCTGTAATATCAAATATAACGTAACAACTAAAAATAAACAAAACCCCATAATATGGCACCCTGTAAATCTGCCAAAAATGCAGCATGTTAACACATGAGGAGACGATGCAGTGGATGTCATGGCTACATCTGCAGAGAGACACTGTGGTTACTGCCCATGTAAAGCAGACTGTAGATTCAAGATTCAAGATTCAAAGCGTTTATTATCATATGTACAGAAAAGTAGTATTTCTCAGTACAATGAAATTCTTACTTTGCTGTCCACTCACAAATGCCAGGTTAAATTAAATTACAAGTACAAAGAGCATACTTGAGAAAAATGGTGCAAAAAGAGCTTAAAGTGCAAAGTGACCTGTTGTGCAAA